TGAGTTTTACTTATTTAGAACTCGACAACAAGATTTCTATGATCAATCATTCATCATCATACAATGATTCACATTATTGGCATGGAAATAATTCAAATTCATATGATTTTTATGGTTCAACATTCATCTCATACACTTTTACAACAAAATGGTTTTTCTCAACAAGTTTATCTTAAATATAAACAATAATGTCTTGATGGTAAAAAAGACAACGTTGATTGTAGAGAAAAAAAGATTATTAGTTCAGTACATATTTACAATATTTCGAGAGAAATAAGCTACTGGTAAAAAAAATTGAAATTATGTTACATTGAACGTAAAAAAAACGAGTCTCTTAATGAATAAAGAACAGTCAACATATCTAAAAACAACAGTGAAAACTGCTCTCCAGTAAAAATCAGAGTCTAAAAAGACTTATATTCTTATTTAAATAGATAATTGAGAATATGTCTGTCGCTATAATTTTCAAAAAAAAAACAAAGATTTTACTCTTTTATGGAGTTTTTTTAATAAATACTATCATTCTCATCTGCATGATAAATTTGAAAAGCAATAAAATAATCGTCAATGATTAAAAACACTAAGTTTCACTAATCGTCAAACTTTATTATTTCATAGAAAATATTTATAATCTAAAGTTATGTTGATTTACAAATAAAATACATTTTGTTTTCTGTAATGATCTAATTTCTAGTACGTGTTAAACTTGGTCCTGGTCAATCAATGGAAATGAATACACTCTATCGTTTTTAGTCATTTTTCTTATGTGAAAATTTTAATCGTCATATGTACAATGAATTTAAACAATATGCTGTTGACGATACTAAAACTGATTATCGGGATATAAATGAATTGTTTTTATGAAAAATAATGAGAAAAGAATTGAATATTACTATTTATGTATAGATATGATGTTGAATATCTATTTCGATTTTATACATATGGCATAGAAAAACATTTTCATCAACATGTATTTGAAGATTTTCAACAAGAAACTCTTTGTGATCATGAAGCTGGTAATAAAATAGATTACACAAAAAAAGAGAAGTGTCAATAACAAAAATAATTTATCTATTTAGGTCAATTATATGGTTTAGAAAAATTCTGAGCATTTTTAAAATATTCTCGACAAAAACTAAAAATCAATCCAAAACTTGAAGATTTTCGTCTTGATGGTGC